AATGTCAAAGAACTATGTGTACTACCATTTCCAGGAAGCTACGGCTTCACTTAACAAAATTAGTCCCAGGTGGTATTCAAGCCAAAAGTGTAAGAAGAAATGGTTCAACTCATATACACCATTTATTTTTGGATGTTTGTGTTCAACACGCATGGCCAATCCTGACCAGGTCCTTGGAGCCTGCCAATCACATAGGTCACTCTCGCTATACAAATCCATTTAAACTCTGTTCGATAAGATTTAGTAGGCAACAAACTGGTATACACCAACACAAACCTGATTCCATCCCTGCTATAGAGAGAAAAAATAACTTTCTTTGGAAGCCATTACAGATACCCAGCTAGTCCTAATCAAATGTAAAAGCTGCTTTCACCTAACATAGGAATTTCACTCTGCTGCATAAATTGACTCACGTTCCTGTTCTTACCAGACCTCCCTGCCCAGAATCAGACCTCTGTCAGGGCCCAACAGCTGTGAGGCTGTGAGTTAGCTCTGCTAACTGCCACACCAACTTGCAATTAATGCTCACAGTCACAGCATTAAAAAAAAAAACCTGAATTGTAATTACAACAAATAATAATAATGTTTCTTTATTAGCAATTTCTTGCATTAGGAATTCGTCTTTTCACATACCCCAGCTTTTCTCCAAGGAGACACAGACACACAGACAGGGAGAGAAGCTGGGGGTCAGAGCGCAGGGTCAGCCATTGTACGGCACCCCTGGAGCAGTTGGGGTTAAGGGCCTTGCTCAGGGGCCCAACGGAGTAGGATTCCTCTGCCAGCCGCGGGATACGAACCGGCAACCTTCCAGTCACAGACGCAGATCCTTAGCCACAGAGCCACCGCTACCTAAAGTAAGATCCATCCAGAGCAGTAATGAGAAACTGACACCTCAGTGGTTAAATTCAGCAAAACGGTGTTACCATTTGGTTCTATTTTATTGCGTATTAAAAATATTGGAACAAATTTATTGTCATTTTGCCTTGTCTCTTCAGTAAAATTCTGTACATTTCAGCAGAAGCACACAGAGTAATGACAGGAGTCCTGTAATGCAGAAGGCAAGAATAATAATAGTGACAAAACAGAAAGTTTACTGGTGGACTGCAAATCTTAGCCTGATATACTTAGAGGTCTCACAGCAAGAGGGGAAGGCTTCACCATTCTCACTTCAGCCATTGTCAGGAGTCTGGGAGTCACACCTAATCCTCCCCTGTCTTTGGAGCCACATGTGAAAAATGTAATTAAGATTTGATTAAGACATCTTCCTTCCACCTTAGAAATATTGCCCGCATTAGGCCATTTTTATCAATGCCTGATCCATGCTTTTATAACATCAAGGCATGATTTCTCCAACTCTTTACTGTATGGGGTCCCTAACTCTCTCTCAACAAGTTGCAATAAGTTCAAAGCTGTTGTTTTGAACAATATGTTGTACCCAGCAGCCATATCACCCTAGCACAACTGGCAGCCTACTGGAGCTCAGCAGGTGTGAGCCTGGTCAGTACCTGGATGGGAGACTCCCAGGAAAGCGAAGGCTGGTGCTGGAACAGGTGTTAGTGGGGCCAGCAGGGGGCGCTCACTCTGCGGTCTATAGTACTGCCCCATTATAGTCACGGGGACACAATACTATAAGAAGGCTACGTCCTTCGGATGAGACGTAAAACCGAGGTCCTGACTCTCTGTGGTCATTAAAAATCCCAGGGCATCTCTTGAAAAGAGTAGGAGTGTTACCCCAGCATCCTGGCCAAATTTCCCCCTGGCCTTTACCCATCATGGCCTCCTAATATTCCCCATCATACATCTCTGAACTCCTCCATGATTACACTCCCCCAGTAGGCTCAGCTCAGCTCCTCTTCTCACAGTCCCCAGGACTAAATCACAGACTTTTGGTGACTACATCACTGCTCCAGTGTTGTGGAATGACCTTCCACTGACTTTACAAGAGACAACTTCTTTAACTCTCTTCAAATCTAAACGTAAAACTTACCTTTTTATCAAAATCTATATCTGACTGCCTACAGTCAATTTGTAAAAACTGTCCCCCCCCTTCCCTCATTTACTTTTACTGTAGTTTTCTTATCTTTTTCTTTATTCATGATGTAAAGTATCCTTAGGTTTTGAAAAGCATAGAAATACTAACATAGAAACGAATGTAAGTGTCCAGTTTAGCCTGAGGCAGTTATCAGTACTGGTGAATCATTATTTTAACACACGTGCACTAGTGTGGGAGACACTCCACATGGCTTCAGGTTCAGTAAAATATTGTAGTTTTCTTGTAAGTAGCAAGCTATTTCAGAGGTATTCCAATAACAGATGTAATCCTAAACAGCTAAACCCTGGTCAGATGATATTCTTGAATCAATTAACTACTCAGTACCAAGCAAGCTAGATGGGCCAAATGGCCTACTTATAGCAACACAACAGGACTATTTGAGAACACTGGCTCAAAAGAAATTCAAGACTGTAAAAAACAGCAGATGATGTTTAATGCGGAGAAGCATAAAGTCGAAGGCTAGAAAAACAAGTGATAAAAATGAGTAGAGAAATATAAGAAGCTGCTTACTTCTTAAGTAATTTGGTGGCTATGCTCACATCAGTTTCAGCTTTGATGCATCTTTGTGAAGTCAAGTTGACACTTATCCCAGAAGTCAATTAGCAAACCAGAGCACACAGAGGAAACCCACGTGATCACTGGGGGAACATGCAAACTCCACACAGACCGCTCCGCAGGAATTGAACCAGGGACTCCAGCGCCATGAGGCAGCAATGCTAATGACTGTGTCACCGTGCCACCCCCCCCCCCCATTGACATAAAACAAAAACCAAAAACAAATGGAAACTAAGAGAAGCGAAATTAAAACCGAGAGCAGGAGGCACTTCTTTAGCCAAAGGGTTATGGGAGTCTGGAGCAACATGCCCAGCCACGTTCCTGAAGCTCAGGCACTTCTTTCAAGACATGGCTGGATAAGAACATTAGATCAATTAGCTAGGAAATACAAAAAAAACTAGCTGGAAGGGCTGAATAACCTTATTCAAGAGAAGTAAACAAAAAGTTTCCCGATCCTCTTTTAATTATGAACTTTCTGAGCTTCTGCAGAAGTAAAACACCATCATAAATACAACAAATGATCAAATTTTGTTTCCTTCATTTTTACTTTGTTCCACACTTCAACATTGCTTAGCCCTTGTGTAATACCATGCAAACACACACATTAACAGCACATGCAATGAAGCAACACTATTTTTAACAGGCTTCGCAATAGTGCCCTCGTCATGTTTCACCAAATCTTCTTTGTACAGTACACTTGCATGTCAGCTTATTTCACAGTCAAACAGGACCAGCTATTATACAGGTCTATGTAACTTACTTTCAGTTATATAATATAATTTTATAGGATTTCTGCTTTAATGAATTTGTTGCATAACAGCATTTTTATTCATTCTTTTCTCTGGGCAGATATACAGGCTTCAGGCCTCCAGATGATGTAGACATTTATTACAAAGTCCACACTTTGTGTTTTTTCCATATTAGGACACATTTTGTTAAAAAGTTGGAACACATTCCAACGTGAAGAGACTGCTGCATTCATTAAGATCAAAGTAATAACATTCACAGCTTGCTAGTCATTTTGCAAAGGAACACACCTGAAGTGCGTCACACCTGAAGAAGGCTCCACGGCCAAAACGTTGTGTTTTCTTCCTTCTCTTTTCAGCATGGAATAAACCTGCTACCTGTTCCTTTGCAGCCTACGCATGCTGATGCAGCTACCCACCTGAATTTTTCAAAGGAAACTGCATTCATCCATCCATATTCAGACAAACTTAGATATAAGATTAATATGATATATTTTTCCATTCTTTAAAAGACTCTTAAAAGGAAATTATCTTAAAAGCATCCGAGATCAAGCTATCGTATGTCCAATGTAATATAGTATTCGAACATGAAACAATATTCCTTGACAGCTCATCATTTAGCAACCCAGACCTCACTTAATATGTCACAAAACTTTATAAATACACTCAGCCTGAAGCAGTGAAATCTAAGATCTAATCACTTGGCCCTTTATAACATTTATGAATACAAAAGCCAAATCCAGTTCTCAATGGTACACCGCCTATTGTTAAAACAGTCCGTAAAAAAACAAAAAAAATGGTTGTGATGTCAATAAATTTGTTGTTTGCAGATGAGACAACTTTGAAGTATTCTAGGGTGAATTCTGTCGTCATTAACATCAACATCTTGCACTGTACACTTCTTCATTCTTAATAACTGATTACTATTCCCAATAACAAGAATTTCTTACAAGTGTACTTCTAACTGCCACACAGAAGATGCAAAACTAAAAATAACTTCCATATTGCAGGTGACATCACCTTCTGGTGTCTCCTGGTGCGTCAACAGGAGACACTTAATTCAAAACCATTTTAAAACAGATGCACTTTATTCCACATACAAGAATGTGACAAGAAGAGCCTGACAAGTGTAAAAAAGAAATGTTACACTGTAAGTAGGGTTAGTGTACAGCAACTAGACAACGCCTGACTGATGCACCACATTGCTCAGCTCTGACAACTAAGACGGCAGATTCTGATCAATAACACTGCGCAGCAAAGATCTAGCGTCTTCTTTTGGGGACGTAGTTAAATTTGCATATAAAGCAATACATTAAGCAGCTTGATTCATTGTTTCTCGTTGTTAATTCAACAATACTGTTCTACAGCTCCCAAGGTAGAGATGCTGTAAACAACTTTCTTCGACCCACCGCGAAGTTCTGTAGCTACAGGAGACGTGTCGCCACTCACAAAAAGCGCACAATCCGAGAGGACAACATGCTCCCGGAGCACTAGGAATGCAAACGCACACGGAACAGCGCACATCCGCAACACAACACAGCACAACACAACCGCACACGGAGCACCTCTCGCGCGTTTTTAGTAAACAAAAACAAAACAGTTTCAAACGCGGCTGATCACCGTGAAGTTTTTTCCGACCCTCTCACCTCCAGCGGTTGATCCCGACGTTGGACGACCCGGCGAACCAGGGGTCCAGTATGTAGACGCAGCGCAAGCTGGCGGCGCCCTTGAGGGACTCCCGGAGCGCAGGGCTGTCGTGCAGCCTCAAGCCCTTTCTGAACCAGTGGACAGTGTTCACGACCATTACTCCCTGCGGCGGTGGAAACACGCTCTTCTGCAACCACTGCTCCTACACTACCAGGGCCCTGCGTGGCACGTCACCCAGACACCACAGAGCCGGCGGGTTTCACTTCGTGCTCGATGTCTGCCCGATTCTTAGTCTACCTGAGTCGAAACAGAAGCGGTCAGTTCGGTATGGCGTGTCCCAGGCAGGAATTAGCCCTGTTCTAACAAAACTTTTCCCATGGAATTGTAAAATCCAGAGAACGCCAGCAAAACCATTGGGGCGCGAATCCCAGCGTTTCGTCTCCGTCACGACACCCGCCGAGCCCAGGGACGATCCGCCAAGGTTTGAAACGCCTGAGGGGGGAAAACAAACACGAACTCTGGCCGGCCCTTTTTTATAGATCGCCGGTACTGTAACTTCTTTCCCACACGGGTCCAAACGCCAGAAAATTGCTCGTTTGCTTGCTGAAAGTGACACACGAACTAGGGGCTGAAGCTGCCCTTTCCTGAAGGCGATGACGATGATAACGCCGATGATGAAGGTGTCAGTTCAACGTCTCCCACAACAGATCCTTTGCCTGCAACAACACTGACCCTCTCTGTGATTATCCGGGTTTCTCACAGCCATCCCTTAGAACCCCAGCGTGCGGGGCCGTCGTGTGTATTAATATTTTTGGGCTGAAGACCACACTCCTGGCTCTTTCTGTTTCTCGGCGGAAGACTGCGACAGTCACCCTCCTCTCCGGCCACGTCAGTCAGGCGCCCTCCCTCCGCCCCGCCCTGCTGCTACGCAACCGCCACTCGCGGCCTCTGATTGGTTGCAGCCGGAGTGACGTCCCTGCCCTCAGTCACGTTCTGGTAGTGTGATGCTCTGGTCACGACGCAGCCTTCGCGGGAATCGTCCGCTTTTTTCCTATTCCCTGGCCTGAATTCTCTCCGCCCCTGCCCACTGAGGCCCGCTAGCCACAGTTCAAGCGCCCCACGCTCATGGCGAGAGTTTTAACCCAATACTAGGCATGTTGTTATGGCGAATCGTTCCGGCCTTCCAAGCTCCGCCCTGTTCGCCAGGACGCTCTCCCATTGGTCACGGTCCCAGGACCCGGATGAACACGTGAAGTAGGGCGAGACGAAACCACCGTGTCTCCACGTGTTCATCCCCACTGTGCAGTGGAGGAGGGGAGGGATCCTTCGAGTTAGATAACAGCAATACACACCCCTCCTCCTCCTTGGCACTGGTGTTATATAGGCGCTGGATTTAACTGCGTCACTGCGCTGTCGAGGATGTTTTTTTCCCCCATGAACTGGTGCTGTTCCATCCATTTTCTAACCGTTTTATCCAATACAGGGTCGTGAGGGAGCATTAGAACTGTCATTCTGTAACAAAAAGTATTTGAAAGTAGAACTGCATATCAGCTGTTACAGTGTTAAGCACTGCTAGAGCAGAGCTTCTGTACTGGAATGTTTTCTTTCTTGACACTCCTTGTGCTGTGTATGAGAATCCTCTGCCTGAGCAGCTTCACATTAACATAAGCCTAAAGAGCAGGCAGTAACGGTAAACCCCTGCCAATCGCTTTTAAGAATACCAGTAAGAATACAGCACACACAGAAGAATCCATTAATTATTTGATTATTGAATGTAAACACACTCTTTAGGCAGGGGAAACTAAGTTAGAACAGTTCTATACAAGATTATACAAGATGGTATACTAGCCCCAGTTACGTAGACAGATGCACTGTGTAATAAAAGTCTTCTCCAATCAACCCGTGTTGTGAAAAAATGTTATTGAAACTGCAAGGTGCATTAACACTGCATAACCTGGAGTTTAACAAATTAATTACTAATCTGACCATTATCACATCCACTGTCTGCTTTTTGTAATGCAATAAAGTGATTCACAAGATAGTTATGTATGTCTAGTGTACTGGTTATTTAATGTTAAAAAAAGCCTGAACAAGCTGAAAATACAGGAAATTCAACTGTTATTGTAAATAGCAATAACAGATCAATGGATTTTTCAATCAACATTGTAAGAAATGACATCAAAATATGCATTCTGTTAAAAATGAAAGTATAATGCACATAATTTCTAAAAATATTAAAATAATGCAACACAGCTGTCCACAAATTAGGACAAAGAATGTTGAAGGTGAACATACTAACTGGTGACTGAAGTCTGTGCAAGAAAAGGAATCTGTTTTCATTGAGGGGATATACTGTATCTCAAAATGAACATGTGAAGCTTGTATTTAATAACTTTATGAATAATAAAATCCACCATACCTGTCCCTCTTTCTACGGTTCTCTTTAGATGAGCCATCAGAGCAAAGTAAAGGGTATGGATAGCCACTGTATGGCAATGCATTTGCCAATGATAATTTGCATTTTGATTTTGATCTTTGAGCTTAGAATGGCATGGAATGTTTTCATTAACTGCTTACAACATAGCCATAAATAGAAGAGCATCTCAGTTTATAGCTAGAAAGATAATCCAATAAAAATGTCAATAGCTATTCATACAGCAGACACTCTTGAGCTACGTAGCTCACAGTTGCAAAATGTGTCCATGTTATCTTTTTGTATCAAACAATTGATATTCTCATTTGTTTTATCATTTGTTGAATTAATTTGTTAAGCAAAGAAATGTTCAAGTAAGCAATTCCTTATACCCAGGTTGATATGACAATAAATTTGAAACTGATCTGAAATACTACTGGAACTGCTGGATCTAGACAGACCATGTTTGTAAATGTACCCTGTACCCTGTCAGAAATGTCTATGTCTACATTGCCTTATAGCATTGTCTTGTCAGTGTCTGTATTCGTACCGTAGACCTGGAGAATGATATCTCGCTCCTCTGTATACTTATATATGGCTGGACTGACATATAAACTTGAACTTGAACTTGTCTCATGCTAACAACAGAAACAATAGAGTTTCAGAAACTCTGGGGGGCCTGGATGGCACAGTGCACCGTGAGGTTGACACGCCAGCTAGGTTTAGTGTTAGCTTTTACACTCTAGTTACACAATTTATTTGCTTAGCACTGTATTTTGGGGCCCAAGAGAGGTTTAGAACGAGTGTTTTTTTATCATTCTCTGAAATTTTGTTTTCAGAAACTCCTGAGGACCGGGATGACACAGAGTACCGTGCGGTCATTGTATCAAAAAACTGTGTCGGTCGGATCAAAAGCTGTCACCAAGCATTACTGAATCTCCTTCAATTGCAAGAGCTTTGATCAACTATCTTGAATGCGTCCCACTCGTGCCTTTTGATTTGGGAAACATGTCAAAATCCCATGACCAGAGAGGCTCAGATGTAAATCGAAAAATTCTCAGTTGAAAACCCAGCTAGCTTTAGTGTTAGCTTTTAAATTCTATTTACACAGCTTATTTGCTTATCACTCTGTTTTGGGTCCCAAGACAGGTTTAGAACGAGTGTTTTTTTGTCCATCTCTGAAATTTTTTTTAGGAAACTCCGGGGGGCCTGGATGTCAAGTTAAGTTGAACAAAAGTACCCAACTTCTCTCTGAAGTTCATTCAAATGCAAGTGCTTCTATCCATGGTCTAGATTGTTTCCCAATAATTCCTTTTGGTTTGGGGAACATGACAAAATCCCATGCCCAGAGAACTTCAGATGAAGATCGCAGAAATGCTCAGTGGACACCCCAGGTAGGGTAAGGATCAGCATTTACACACTACTCAGAGAATTTTTATTTTCAGGGATGGATTTTTAGCCCAATTCAACTTGAAGAAAAGTGGTTTCGTGAAAAACGCTGAAATTTTTTTTTCAGAAACTCCGGGGTGCCTGGATGTCGCGGTG